AAATATATATATTTTTTATATTTTAAATACATATATATATATATATATATATATATATATATATATAATTTGCTTATTAAATAATATTATATATATATAAAATTTTATAAGTAAATAAATATTTATATTAGTTTATTAGCTAATATAAATATTATATTTATTTACTTATTAAATAATAAATATTTAGCATTTATATTTAGGCATGACAAATGAATGTGATTATTTATTAAAATAATAATAAATAATACATTTTCAACAACCTCAGGGCTGCAAAAGATAAAACTACACAGTCTAACTGGTTAAACTACAGCATTCTTAAATGAGCAGTTTCAGATTAAACTGCATTTGTTCAGAATTTTATGATTATTATACATGCCATTTTATGATTTAACTGACAGACAACATGGAATTTGTGTACTTTTAAAACTTTGTCATACTGTCTGACCATTTCAAATGATCTATCAAAGGAAAAAAGTGTGACTAAGAGCTATGAAAAGTCAGACACAGCATGTTAAATATGCACTTTAAACTATAATCTTGTTGGTGATCATCTCTTACCATCTGTATTTTCAGTGCTTTTTTATAAAACTGTCGGATCTCCCAGTAGCTGAGGACGTTGCAGATCACCTTCACGAGCCGATAGACCCAGAAAATGGCTGCCATTATCAAGAGGAAGATGATCCAGCTGTTTCCTTGAATCCTGATTGGGAGAGGAAGATCATCACTATGATGGCAGCAGGTGATTGTGGGATTGCTCATGGTTCATGACATTATAAGAATAAAGTCATATATAACTCAGCCCAACAAGCCAAACTTAACAAAACTGATGCTAAATACTAAATGATAAGTAATACCCAATATGTGATTTAGTGAGAGAAAGGACATATATAATGTTACAAAAGATTTCTATTGCCGCTCTTTTGAATTTTCGGTCTTCAAAAGAATCCTGAAAAAAAATATGAAGCAAAAAATATGAAGCAGTACAAGCGTTTTCAACATTGACAATAATAAAAAATGTTTCTTGGGAACCAAATCAGCATTTCGAAAATAATATGACTGACCAAATGAGAATGTTTACCAAGTCTTAATTACTGTATGACAGCACAAGATGTTCCTGAATGAGTCTCACTGAAGTGAGTCAGCTATGATATTAATATGTTTGTGTTGCATATCTGTGTCTGTCAACACCACATCTCTGTGTGTCCATGAACAGGTCTCTCTGTGTCAAAACACTAGGTGTCCATGAAAAGGTTTGTAAAGTAAAAATCTGAGAAACAAGCAAAATAACTATTCAATGTCAAATGGACCAAAACATCCCAGTGTCTATTTAAAACCCATGAGCTCTACGTAGTACACAGTTTCAGTATCATCTACGGCCACAGAAATAGAATGGCAGGGTCTGAGAGAGCTGAACATCCCTCTGCTGATGTTCACAACAGGTGCTTGTTTACAGCTTGCTTATTTTGGAGCCACTGTCTGAGAAGTAGGAAACGAATCAGGTGAAGCTGAATCGAGTTCCAGTGTGATGCAATGAATGCCGTCACATTCTCACCCAGTGCTTTAGGGCATGTTTGCTTTCAGGCTACTACGGAAATCGAGCTTGAAAAACCAAGAAAATGGCAATTACAACTTAAAGCTTTGAAAACTGAACACAAAACATGTTGCATTAAGATCCAAACCTGAAGTGAAATAAACCTTGAGTGGTGCATTACAATAAAAGTTCACATGCAAAATCAAAATATTTTATTTGTGATATCAGAAAACTGTCTGTCCAATAAGTTTTGTAATAAGTATACCTATTTGTTATTTTCTAAAACATAATATTTTTTTAAAATATTGCGCAAGAGCCAAAACCTAAACACTGAACTTTGCTTGCTTCAGTGAAAATAAAACTTTTTTTTTTTACTTTTTATAAACTAGGATTTTCTGTATTAATAAAATATATTTGAAATATGTCCAGTGTTACTATAATATGATTTGTATAGTAATATAGTATTTATTAATATTTGAAATGAGCTTTTATTTTTATATTTTCCGTTTTTAATTTTTAATAGTTTTGTTATGTGCTTTTGTCATTTATATATTTTTTTTACTTTTTTAACTTCAGTTTTATATTTTCAGTATTCATTTTAATTAGTGAGTATTACATTATTTAGTTTTAGTAATTTTTATACTTCAACTTAATCTTATTTTACTTCAAATAAGTACTTTTTTTTTTACAAAAATTTTAGTTTAAGTTTTTTTTTATCTAATACTTATATCTCATTTAGTTTATTTTATTCATTTAATAGTTTTATTATGTGCTTTTATCCTTTTTATTGTTTTAATGATTTATTATTCGATTTTTATATCTCTATTTAGCTTTCATTTATTTTTAGCCAGTTTAAGTCATTGTAATACTTCAACTTAACCTTATTTTACTTAGCTTTAATTATCTAATGAAAAACTAGCTAATGATACAAACACCGAATTGGTTAATGATGCAAGTGTTAACTAAATAAAAAATTCAGAGTAACCAACAAACTGCTACAAGCAAAGCTGAATTCAATTCGCAATATAAGGACGTTCAGCGACGCTCTGCCTCAGTGCATGTGCCAGTATAAAGCGGACACACTGACCTCTCAGTGCACTGCTCGCTGGGTAAAATCGCATCAGGAAGGGTGACCTTATTCCTGTCCAGAGGACTGAGGCTCTGACCCGTGTGGTTGACCACTCGGTTGGCAAAGAGAACATCATATTCCACACAGTTAAAGAGAAAAGTTGTAAACGTGACCACAAACAGGAATTGCCTGAATATGGGAATGCAAAAACAGACAGGATTAGTTCTTGCTAATCAGTATGCAATCCTGAAAGAATTTACGCTTGAGGCAAAAATAAATAGCACTTACACAAGTTCAAAAAACTCTGATAACACCATACAGGCGAATCCATTCCTCTGATGGAAATGATAGATGTGAGCATGTTAAAGACTCTTGCATTCCAATGATAGTTGAAACAGTTTTAAAGAAGTACAGCATTGTTCAGCCATTAATGCAGCCAGAGTGTAACATAATATAAATGCCTAATGATGAATAGAGACAGTGTGTTTTCAAGTACAAGAGAAATGATACCATTCTGGGAGTTTATAGCTATTGCACAACTGCTGATTTAGGGGTGAAAAATGCATTAAAAGGCATGAATTTTCCTATTCAGCCTATAAAATAATACAGCATATTGTTTTAATATTTTTGAAAGGATATTCTTGTGAAGAAATTGTCGAGATTCTTGATATGATGCCATGGGTCTGCAATGTAGCAAAGACATTGTTATTAAGTTAAATGATAAAGAAAGAATATGCTATACAGTCTTATATATATATATATATATATATATATATATATATATATATATATATTAAACACTTGCAATTTGTTTGTCATAATATGTAGGGATGCACGATATATCGGCCACCATATCGGTATCGGCCGATAAATGCTCATTTTTTCTGTTATCGGTATCGGCCTGGTAAGAAAATTTGGCCGATATCTTAAAGCCGATAAATAATGCATTATTTCCTTCAGAGACACTTCAGATGCGCGCTGTTCGTTTGCAGCCTTTTGTGCAATTGTACGTTGTAATATTGTGTTTATTTGATGTATATCTGATTTCTCTGTAATGTAAAAGTGAACAATAATGACCTCCTCTGCCCTCTGGCACATGGATGAGTAAATCTTCCTCTCCTGGAGGGGAGTCTTCCTCATAATCTTCTATTAGCTGATACTCCTGGTACGTTTCAAGACCAGCCATCGTGATTTACATTCTACCTCTCTATAATGTTCACCACAGGTCCTGAATAACAGATTTAACATTACAGTGGCATTAGATGTGACAACATACTAGAAACATCAGTCATACACTGTGCAAATAAACAACAAGAGCAACACCAGCTCAAACTGACTAAGTTCACTGTACTTACAAGACGGTTATTGTCTCTTTTCTGATAAAATCACAATCACATGGTCAGTTTCTAAACAGATGAGTCAAGGACAGACTCGAGTGCATCATTACAAAGACAAGTTTTCTTCACAGATAACGATGGCGTACAAATCTATACATTATTAGTGAATGTTATTATATTTAGCCATGTTATGCCGTGTCTGCAAACGAGAGAGAGTTTAACAGTTTAACAACCTCGTGCTGACTAAACTGCTCGTTGTTTGCTTATATCAATTTCTTTATTGAAAATATTTATATTAAAAGATTACAGGAAGGATTTGAACACATAAATCGCTAAATTGGTCTCACCGTCCGAGCAGAGATGATCCTCGCCTTTGCTCTTCACAACACAAACAGATATCACAACAAACAGCGCCTGGACACTTCCGTCACTTCCGGGGAGACTTTTATCCTGACATGTAATGTAAAATGTAACTATACAATATTTATTGTACTTGTGTAATATGTACTTTTGCTGGAATTTTTCTAGATTTCCAAAAGGTGTTTGCACTATTGTTATTTTTATTAAAAACTTTTATTTGAATATGCATATTTTGAAATAATAATAATAATAATAATAATTTCCAAGAAGTGTACACGTTTTAAATTAGTCTCTATTTTCGATCCTTGTTGGTTATATTTAAGTTCTATTTAATCAATTCATCCGGCAAAAAGTAGTAAATCTTTGACCAACGGACGGTTTTAAACAAAACAAAAATTATATGTAAATATATATCATTTAAAATAGTATAAACATTCATTTATTTATACATTATTACCATTTATAATCAATAATAAAATATAAAATGTGTGTTTAAATGAAAATCGGGAAAAAAAGAAAAGATGCGTGCAAATTAACATTCATTAAACATGTACAAATGTCATTACAAAAGGAATATGAATTAAAACAGTAGCCAGTGATATGAAAAAAAACAAAATTATTTATGCTAATACAAAAAAAAGCGAATGTATTTTCACGCAGCGGTGACGTACGGGGTTAGCGTGGGCACGCCGGGAATGGGCTTGCGTCAACATGGCGGCCTACATGTAAATCCTTGAATTAATTGAGCTTTCTTTCGTTCTTCTTCTTCCTGCTGTCATTTCAAAACACTACAACAACAACATGTTTCATTTTGCACGCTGCGGTCGAGTGACACGCGGCACTGTCACGTCAGATCGACTTTTGAACTCCCAAAAAACAAGAGATTTCACGATCCACCACCTTTATAGGTACACGATATTTATCTTTGTTTATTATATTAGATTGAAACGATTGTCTACACGGTAGTCATTTTCAAATTCATCTGTCTGAGGTCATAAGAAGATTTGTTTGCATTTCATTTTGCATATAAACACAGTTGATCGTATATGTAATCAAACAGACACTGCATGTGATTTATGACATCTTATATAGATGTCTTAAACTAAAGAATAAATATTGTACGATAGTCATACTATGCCCTTTGTGAAAAAGAAGTACACTTTTCATTAAGTGGTACCATGCAACACTGTACCTGTGTTATGGCAGCCATATCACTCTGCAGCCCAAGACTGGTTACCCACTGAAGCTAAGCAAGGCTGAGCTGGTCAGTACCTGGATGGGAGACCTCCTGGGAAAACTAGGTTGCTGCTGGAAGAAGTGTTAGTGAGGCCAGCAGGGGGTGCTCACCCTGTGGTCTGTGTGGGTTCTAATGCCCCAGTGTAGTGACGGGGACACTATACTGTCAACAAGCACGTCCTTTGGATGAGACGTTAAACCGAGGTCCTGACTCTCTGTGGTCATTAAAAATCCCAGGATGTCTTTTGAAAAGAGTAGAGGTGTGACCTCGGCATCCTGGCCAAATTTGCCCATTGGCCTCTGATCATCATGGCCTCCTAACAATCCCCATATCTACTGATTGGCTTCATCACTCTGTCTCCTCTCCACCAATAAGCTGGTGGGCGTTCTGGCGCACTATGGCTGCCGTCGCATCATCCAGGTGGATGCCGCACACTGGTGGTGGATGAGGAGATACCCCCTGACAATGTAAAGCGCTTTGAGTGGCTAGAAAAGCGCTATATAAATGTAATGAATTTTAATTATTACTTTTCCATTATCTGTTGTATTTTAGGCGTGGCCAGCATACAGTACCATGGAGCAGTTCACAAATCCCATCCACACAGATCACTGTCAACACTCCTGCTCGCATATGGAGACAAGCTCAAAAAGTGCTCCGTCTAGCATCCAGACAGCCGCCCAGACCACCAAACATCACTCTGAAATTCATATTAGGACCTGCTGCTTTGACAGTGACCGCACGCTTGCTTGGTACTGGAGCTCACTGTGAAGCAGATGTGAACAATAACGTCCCGCTGGAAGTTCAGGCGAAAGAGAAGATTCCTGAATTCAGCTGGGCCATCCTGTGGGAGTTCGTTCGGCCCCAACTTCTTGCTCTTATAGGAGCCATTATCGTAAGTAAACAATTCATCTATTAAGCAAAGTTAATTGTGTTTTTTGGCCATATTATGAATAGTTTGGTTTATTGTGCAGTGATATCTCTGTCGTGTCCTCTTTCAGCTTGCGTTTGGAGCAGCAGCCCTTAATATTCAGATTCCTCTGATGTTGGGGGATCTGGTGAATGTCGTCGCTCGCCACATGAGAGAACAAGCAGGTCATTACATGAGAGACATTAAAGCACCTGCAATGAAGCTGCTCGGACTGTATGGTTTACAGGTACGTTAAGTCACACAGTCAAGCTCTATGAGCAATATTTGACATGATTAATCATTTCTTTTGCAAAATAAACTTTTATTCATTTTATTTAACTTTCTATTCATGAGAGAATCCAGAAAAGAAAATGTATAACAGTGTCCACAAAAATATTAAGCAGTACAGCTGTTTTCAACATTGATAATAAATATAAATGCTTCTTAAGCAGCAAATCAGCATATTAGAATGATTTCTGAAGGATCATGTGACACTGAAGACTGGAGGAATGATGCTGAAAATTCAGGCACAAATTACATTTTAAAATATATTCAAAAAAAAAAATTTTTTTTTTAAATTGTAATAATATTACACAATGGTAGTATATTTGTCTTTCAGGGTCTGTTGACCAGTGGCTACATCATTCTTCTGTCTAGAGTTGGAGAGAGAGTGGCAGCTGACATGAGGACAACCCTCTTCACCTCTTTGCTTCGGTTTGTAATACAGTTTTTGTTTTAGATGTTTAAAGTGCTGAAACACATAGGGTATTAGAAAGACAGAAATCTTTCTAATCATCTTGTTTAAATGTCGTGTTACAGACAAGATGTTGCATTTTTTGACGCAAACAAGACCGGGCAGCTGGTTAATCGGCTGACATCAGACATCCAGGAGTTTAAATCTTCCTTCAAGTTGGTTATTTCTCAGGTAGGATGTTTTAGACGAGAGCAAGTGTGTTTTAAAACCCCTACTGAGAATGTATAGATGTACCACATGCATTTGATTACATAATATGTTACAGGGTTTGCGCAGTGCCACACAGACGGTGGGTTGTTTTGTGTCGCTGTACGTCATCTCTCCCAAACTCACGGGTCTCACTGTGGTCGTCCTGCCATGTCTGGTGGGGGCTGGCGCTCTCTTTGGTTCTTTTCTCCGTAAACTATCGCGCAAAGCACAGGAACAGGTAACGGCACTCTGGAGGAGAAGAGTAGTTTTGCTGCTCTTTGTGTGCTAACTCCCCAATTTTCCTCTTTTAGGTTGCTAAAGCTACAGGAGTGGCTGACGAGGCTCTTGGTAACGTGCGGACAGTGAGAGCTTTTGCCATGGAGGATCGAGAACTAGAGTATGATTACAGATTCTAGACTTTTTTCCCACATTTTGTGTGTCGATCTTGAGGGGAAAGTCTTACAGCTTTTAACTGTGTATTTCATTAAGTGATATAATGCTAATTTACCAATCTACTTGAACTAACAAAATCTACTTATTACCTAAAAATCCACTGGTAATCATGTGATGAATCATCATGAGTTTATCGTAAGTGGCCTGTTCATAAAACATGGCCGATACTTTTATGTACATGTGTCATACACACAAAGACAAAACACCATCAGGGTAAAACACAACACTAAAATAATGCAATAAACATGAACTAAACAACAGAAAATGTAACAAAAAAATGCTGTAAATTACATTACTTATTACTTACAAAAATATAATCATATGTGATGTGATGTGTAATTTTTCTGTTTTTTGCTCTGAATTATATGGTTAATAAATTATAAGGTAAATTATAAATTACGATAATAAATCATTTTTACTTGCAAAAACCATGCATTTGACAGTATTTTATAATAAGCCTACATGTAATGTGAATGTAAACCATTTACAATTTTTACTATAGCATTTTACAGTTTTCCTGAACAAATTACAAACATTTTTACTGTGTATGGTCTTTTTTTTTGTCCAACATTGATGTACTAAAGATGATATTTTCAGGAAAATAAAACTAATCAAAGCTTTTTTATTATTCAACAAAACCCAGCAGTTCTGATATTCACCTTCTTTCACAGGATGTATGCTGCTGAAGTCCAGAAATCAGCTGTGATGAATGAGACGCTGGGCACAGGAATTTCAGTATTTCAGGGCCTGTCTAATATTGTCCTGAACTGTGAGTAATGATGCACTTTCCCTGATTCACAACCAATGACCACATGAACTAGAGCTGTTAAATATTTCCCTTCTTCAACAGGCATTGTTCTAGGCACTATTTTTGCTGGTGGGTCTTTGATGGCTCGTAATGACATGTCGCCTGGTGATCTAATGTCATTTTTGATCGCCTCTCAAACAGTACAGAGGTGGGAGTGTGCAAAGAGTCTTAATTTACATTTGATCCTACACATAATTTAGAAGGAACTTACATTCAGCTGAACCAGTGTGTTTAATATCAAATGTAATATAATCGCATCTCTCTCTCCATAGATCTCTTGCCAGCATTTCAATTCTCTTTGGACAGGTGAGGAGAAGACATTTCCAAGCATTCTGTTACTTCATATATATCGTATGTAATCTATGTGTGGTTTGTGTCAGATGGTTCGAGGTATGAGTGCAGGAGCTCGTGTGTTTGAGTACTTGGCTCTAGAGCCCACCGTTCCTCTCACTGGAGGAGGTCGTATCCCTCTCAAGTCTCTGACGGGAAGAGTTGACTTCATGAACATCAATTTCAGGTAGGTCTCAAACATGACACGGCCTGAATTTAATCTAAAGAGTTTCATTCTGTGTTATTTGATGTTTCCTGCAATGTTTCTCAGTTACCCAACAAGACCTGGAAACCAGATCCTTAATAACTTCAACCTGACTCTACCTCCCTATAAAACCGTTGCTATTGTTGGCGAGTCAGGCGGAGGTAAAGTATCTATCTATCTATCTATCTATCTATCTATCTATCTATCTATCTATCTATCTATCTATCTATCTATCTATCTATCTATCTATCTATCTATCTATCCATCTATCTATCCATCCATGTATCTGTCTGTCTGTCTGTCTATCTATCTATCTATCTATCTATCTATTGCAAACATCACACGGCCTGAATTTAATCTAAAGAGTTTCATTCTGTGTTATTTGATGTTTCCTGCAATGTTTCTCAGTTACCCAACAAGACCTGGAAACCAGATCCTTAATAACTTCAACCTGACTCTACCTCCCTATAAAACCGTTGCTATTGTTGGCGAGTCAGGCGGAGGTAAAGTATCTATCTATCTATCTATCTATCTATCTATCTATCTATCTATCTATCTATCTATCTATCTATCTATCTATCTATCTATCTA